TTCTCACAATGTTGTGCGAGGTGTGTGTTAGGTGTCCCCTATTAGTAGAGGGCCTGCCCCTCGGCTAGTTTTCTTTCTTGACACATAAATAAAGTTTCTATCTATCTATCTATTGTCAAATTGTTTTCATCCTGATCTGCTAATATCTCTAGAAACTTGTTGATCAGTGACTTTGAAATTAGAGCTGGGTTTCCAAATCGTTCAGTCAGCTTTTCATACTATTACACAAAAGACTTATATTTTGGACGTTCAGGGGATAACAAATTTCGCAGCACGCCATATGCATCTGCTACGATAAACGCTAGAAACGTAGCAACTTTGTAATCTGCCTTGACATAATTTGCGGCAAAATTTAATTCCACTCTTTCGATATAACTTGCAATATCTTCTTTACCGTCCACATACTCTCCAACTTGACCTACAAGCGCCATCCTCGTCGCCAAACTTGTAATATTCTGGTCTTAAACAACAACACGAAACGAACCATTTGCTAGTCATTCTTTCAATGCAACTGCGCATGTGCAAAACCTGCCCTAAAATATAATCGGTCTAGAACCTAATACTGACTACTCAACCCAGATGCAATGCTGGATTCTGATTCCGCTACTGTATCATGTGAAACGATTATGCACATAAAGGAGTGTGTTACGATTCGCCGTCCTCTGCATGGGTATCGCGACAGAGTTCCTGTCTGACACCTAGTAATAAATAGCCGCAAGAGTAGAAATTTCAGCTATTATACTACTACATGAGAAATTTCTGCAATTTGATTGGCTTAGAGCGGTGTTATTTCAGCTTAATTTGAAATACCTACATGTGAAAATTACAAACCTTTTGTGGGTAGTAGTATAAACAAATAATAGCATGATTTTTACGTGATATTTGGCATAAATACCACTCGTGATCAGGCGGTGTGCGTCAAGACCCACAAAGGTTCATGGGTAAAACTGTTACTGTGCCTCATTTCAATCGTGACACGGTCGAGTTCGCATCTCGTAAGGGAGATGAATCAAACCCAGGGATCAAAACACTGATGCCTTTTCTGAAAAACATTACGGAAGAGAGGGATTTGGAGAATTTTCAAGATCCCATAGTGTCCTTAGATGCTTGCTATTGGCTTCACAAGACAATGTCAATAAGTTTATCGCGATTCGGAGACGATCGTGCGATCTAGCCGCCTAATGAGCGGTGACTAAGTTCCTGCTTCTCATAACATTTTATGTACTGTTTGGTTTATATGTATATTTTTATCCCATAGTGAAAGAGATCTGTAGTTCATACCTGGATTTGCTTAACTAAAAAAAACAGTCCATTAGAAGTGTTTATATATTTGATGGACTTTATTACCGGCCGAGGAAGGGGAGCGCGAGCAAACAGCAAGGTGAGAAATCGTCTCTCATAACAATTTTATTTTCATCGACAAGTTGATATTATTTTGAAAACAGTGCCCGTTTGAAATCCTTATAGGTAAATAAATCTTCTATCAGGCAAGGGGAAAACAGATCGAAAGAGCCGATCTGCTACAGCACAATCGGAATTTTCCCCGAAGCTACAGCCGCAGAAATAAACCACAATCTTGTCTGTGCGTTCATTGAAGTGAACGCAGTATATCGATTTTGTTATAAAGTAAGACCTAACCTCACCGTTTTAAAATCCTGTATGATGTTGTCTGGATCTTCGATAACGGTTTTGGGTTTTGGTAGAGATTTATAACAATTTATTCCCTCACGTAAGTTTACATAAAGATTTGCATACACATAACACACGCCGCATGCAAATTATTTTAAAGTCACACTTTCAGTTTCCGCACTGGGTTATGAAAATGTTTTGTTTCCAAAGGTTATTACAATATTCAAACTTATTTACCTTCTCTGGTTTAAAATAGAACAAACTCTTCCTGGATTTGGCGTTACTCTCTTCACGTCGGCTTCCGCTTCGGCATGTTTTCTCAGCCCGTTTCCCGGGAGTTGTGCCACTTGGCTGAGACGATATCTTAATAGGGAGTTTAAGATACTCCGACTACGGACTACGGCTACGGATAAACATGCTACTGCGCATGATCAATACCACGTGACTGTTCATTTTTCCCGCGTAGTCCTGCGGCTACGGTGAGTTGTTGAGCTGTTTCGCGTAGTCGGGACTACGGAGAACATTTTGCTCGTATTTTGCCGTCTCGGTAATTCAAGAATCTCGTCTTTTCGTAAAAAAGGTTCAATTTGCCTGCTTTAAGTGAGAGGGAAGCGAAATATGTAAGTTGTGTCTAATTTCTGCTCAGATTTTTGCTCAGATTAGTGTGTCTTTCTACTTGTGTGACCTTTGTTTATGCGAGTTTTTGTATCGCATTTGCTGAATGAAAATGATGTAAACATCTTCGAGACAATCGAAACTGGGCATTTCAATACTTCAAACTACATCAGATAAGTAGTCGGAGAAGTCCATCTTCTAAATCTAATAGATGAGCTATTATTATTTCTGTCTATTTCTTTAATATTTTACATAAGTATTCATGGGCGAAAAAAATAAAACCTGTGCAACCAAAACTTTGTTTACCAATTTCACCCGAGCTACGGTGATGGAACAAGCAGTAAAGTTGTAGGCGAATCAACTTGTACGCGAATCGACTTGTACGTAATTGCTTCCTTCAAGTATGGAAGAATTTGTTCATTGTTCTAAAGATAAGATCACATGCAAAACGGACTTGCATTTTTGTGAACTGTGGTAAAAAGAAGAAAATTTTTGCGTGTTGTTTCCCTCTCCGCCTCTTCTCTCGTAGTCTGCCGTCTGTAGTGGAATCTTAACGTTCTATATTTGCACGACTCAGCCCAGTGCTACAAACAAACGACAACGCTCGTCCAGCCGTAGTTCGTAGTCCGTAGTCTCCGTATCTTAAACTCCCTAATTCCAAGACACCGTTCAACGGCTCATAACGGGAAAACTAACAGGGGTAGACCCGGGTAGACCCTGAAATTTGCAAAGAAGAAAGGTTGAAGTAACAAGAGGGCCAAAATAATTCGATAAAACCGCTAACAGTAACCAGCAATGAATCCAAGAAGAACGGCAAAAACAACACTCAAATTATCATGGTGGCCTGCACATGACCGAGCAATCCAAACTTGTCACAAACGCTCAAGAAAGCAAAATATTTAAAAGTAACGCAACTGCTATCAAGATAAAGTGTTCCAAAAACTTTCCACGGCGGTATAGTGTCGAAATTACCAACACAAGCTTGGAATAAAGCGAAAATTTCACCACATATACCTCTAAAAAAGGTTCTTTCCAAGCGCGAAAATCACTCTACAAATGACGCATTCTGATTGGTCGAATCTCGTGACGCACACCGCCTGACTCGTGATATTCCAAAATTATCCCAAATTTCACTCGCCTAAAGGCTCGTGAAATTACCTATAACAATTTCGAAATGTCACTCGTGGTATTTATGCCAAAGATCACTACAAATGATGCTATTATCTATACTAATTTACACTATAATTATTTCAAAAACAGAAGTAAACTTTACCCTCCTATTTCACTATACGTTTAAAAGGACATTTCAAGTGCATGTGTCATAGTTTATGGAATTCGCTGTCCACCTGTTTCGGTAGAGTAGGACTTTTCCTACCCTATTCACAGACCTGAAGGCGGATAATTTAGAAAAATAGAAACAACAAAAATAGAAAAAACTCATGCACGAACATGTAATTTCAGACTTAGCATCCAAACGGCGCAAAGCCTTTCCCTGTTTCAGACCCAAATGTGTTTAAACAATTCGCTTACAAAGGGAGTACCCTCTCACCGGAACAAATGGGCTGTGACGTCATGGTTTGCTGGTTCATTTTGATAATATTGCCAAATATGACCCTATTCTCAACGAAACTCAGCGTATGTTAAGAAATCACTTGCAAATGACAAAATCACTGCTTCATGCCAAACACAGTCATTGTCCCCCAAACATTATATGAAAAGTTACAGATAAAAAAAAGACTTTTGAAAAACTTTTAGGCTATTTGAGTTTTCAAAAACCGCAGTGTTAACGTAGTAAAAGAACTATTCAAGGAATTTTTATATTTAATCTAGCTGACAAAAGTAGGAAAACCGTCAAACGCCCAACAGGAACCACAAAAGTACGCTGTTTGTTCGAGTTTTTATAAGTTTTTTACCGACAGCCGTACTGCAAGGATCAAAGTGTTAACAGTTTAACTGAACCCGGACCGATTTAATGCTTATTCAAGGACATTTAAGAAAACAGTCGCCATAGAAGTAAGTGAACTGTATGTTTCCTTGGTTTTGTTAATTTAGTCCGTTCAGTTCGTTACCTTTTAAACAGACTTAAAGTAGCTTAAACTGAGTTTGTTTCAAGAACCACGTGATTTCCCTTGAATAGACGTTCAGCTTTTATTCGCAATTATTCCGCTTTTTCTAGTTTCATGAATCAATTATTTGATTACACTTATTGAATAAAACATATTTCTTCAATTTGATTTCAGATCGAATGAAATTACTGTTATACAATTGCGAGTTATTCTTCGGATTGAATTCTCCGTTTTCTAATGAAACACTTAGTTGCCATCAGTTTCAACCCTTCAAGCTTGTCCTCACATGACATGACTCCTTTTGCATTTGCTGTGTTAGTGTTTGAGCCCGAGGAAGGGGGGGGGGGGTGGGGTGGGGGGATGGTAATTCCTTATAAGAGGCTAATGGGGATGTGCCACTGGTTGGGGTCCCATTTTTACGACTGGATTGACTATAATGGGGTCGGACATTTTCGGATTTTTTGGGGTAAGACAGTTCTCTATATTTATGGTTAGCAAACGTACCAGAATGTTTGTACTGCAGATGAAAAGTAAAGTGTTCTTCATTCAATCTAAAAAATGGGTCAATTCATAAAAATAGAAAGCGACTAAGTTGGGATCGCGAAAATTACACATTTGCCCAAAAAAGACTAAGATGCGGTTTATTTTTGAGCGGTTACTTTCATGTTTCACTCAATTTGGTGGCGTTTTTCACTTTTTGAATTTTGATAAATTTCGTGACACAAGACCTTTAGATATCACAGGAGTTTCAGTACCTGCTACTGAAGGAGGATATACTTTCAACTGGATAATTGAAGACTTGGATAGGCTGGGGTAGTACTTGTCGCAGAGCCACTGACATTTATACCCTCCTTCGTCTGCTTCAGTAACGTTATCAATGGTGAGAATGAAATCTTTTTTGCACCTGGTGTTGGTTGTCCTTTCTTGTATATCATACTTTTGACCAGATTCTAATTTCACTGAGTTGTTGTTAAAATACCACTGTAAAGAATTGTCATGACAGTCGCTTGGCCGAACACCTACTTCGCACTGTAAAGTGACATTGGAGTAGGCTGTCACCGAAACGTGGGGAGAAGAAATATACGGAGCTCCAGGAAAGAGACCTGTATTAGATGATAAGAAGACATAATAAGCAAATATTATTTGAAAATCGTTAACATTTTTGTGCAACCGTAAAGGGTAACATTTTTACTCTTACCCTCCCCTCCTGAGTATTAATTTGTGACAATATATGGGCCATCACAACGCTTTGGAGTTGTTACGTGTTGATTTTGTTTATCCCATTGGTTCCCTCTTTTTCCCTCTTGTCTCGTCACGCCGTCTTTAGAGACGTTCTAACGGTCGGTTGATCGGATGAACCCCACTTCTCTTACCTCCCACCAATATGGCCTCTGCTCCTAAGTGTTGATTTCAATAGCTATTCGGCGTCTCCTTTTCTCTTTTTAACAATCACATAACACTTTACATTGGAATCTCGATATAACGAACAGCTGAACGAAGACCAAAAGGACTGGCAAAATATGCTCGCCATAAAGAGGTTCTGTTATATCGAGGTTCCTTTTATTTATTGTACAGTCAAACCCCGCTCCAGTCTGGAAACCCGCTCAATGCAGACATCTCATTGTTACGGACAGTTTGCTTTGTCCCTGGGGACAGAAAGCCCTTTCATTTTCTACCCGCTTAATAAGGTCACCCCGTTAATACAGACACTTTCTTACTACGGCCCCTTCAGTGTCGGGATTTACGAGGTTTGACTGTATTATTTCTGGGGCGGAGAGTATCGCTTATTATTAAAAATTGAATCATTGGATAATGCAATTCTAGTGCTCTGATTGGCTTAGCCATCATGGTATATGAACCGTTATACCATGCTCTTCAAATATGGTAACTGTACGCGTCTGTTTAAAATTAAAAACAAGATGAAAGTCGGTTGGTTTACAAATAAAGTCGGGAAGAATTCTCGATATTTTGTGGGCGTTTTTAACGGAATAATTATTCCACTCGCGCTTGTTGTATATTAGATGATTATAGCCAACTCGGTGCTACGCGTCTCGTTTGCTATCTACTAATTCATATCTAACGCACACTTGTGGAATAAGTGGAATAATTGTGAATTATACCGACGACTTCTTTATATAGAGGTTCTACTGAATTTCAGGTGAGAACACTCCCCTCTCATTTATGACTGTCCTGTGCTTGATTCCTCAGGCAACATCATATGTGGCCGTCCGGGTTGAGTTTTGTTGCTTCTCACCCTTATTCCGCCATTGCCACCAAAACAACACATCACTCCCACGTTAATCCCGCCAGCTGCGCAGGGTAATTTTGAGCCAGAATGGTAGACATAGAACCACTTTGTGGATGAGATAGCGCCACTAAATCGTAATTTACTTATTTAATTATCCCTTGGGACCCGAGGGGTAAACAAATAAAAATTCCAGCGTCCATTTAGTCTGAATAGAAGAGGAAGGTGGCACGAAATTGTCAGTACATTTTTTTAAAGTTAGTTAGGAATAAGTTAATCTGTTATTTTAAATATGAAACACACAATATTTAATTCCGTCTAAATCAAGAGAGGATGAGCTGTCTCTCTTGGTCTAAATGGGATACTTTCCATTGCTTACAGAGGAAACATGATATTATGTTTTTAAGAACCTGCTTCAAGGGAGGTAGTTTTGCGCATCCGTGTGTAGTATTAAAATAAGAAATTAAATGACTCACAGCGATAATTCAGGTCAATATACCCTGATTTTTTACTAGACCAGCCGGTAATGTTGTTCATTCCAGTGCATTTATAAGCCCCTGCTTGTTTTTCTTGGATATTAGGATTACGGAGAAGGGAAGTTAAGGTATCCTCTCCAACCAGCTGCTCTGAGATGTGAAAACCTTCAGATCCGTTGATGATTTGTTTTTTATCTGGATTGTACCAAACTACACGAGGACGAGGCCATCCCTTGAAGGTACACTTCAGTTCCTTTCCGCCCTCTACTTTCCCGTCAGGATATAAGTCAACGGGAGAACTTGTCTTAGATACTCTCTTAACTGGAACTGAGAAGGAATTCTTCGTCTTAATTTCAAAGCTCGTAAGTCATGCACCCATGTCATTTAAGCTAGGGAGCTTTAAGTGACTAACTCGAAAGCCTAAGCTCCTTTGGCCACTGCGCACATTTCACTTTTGATCAGGATTTATAAAATTTGCTGGTTTTCTTCTTCTTGTTTTTGTAATATATTTGTAATTTTTATAGACCTCTTGAATTAGTGCAAAAAATATCAAAATCTGAAAAGTGAAAATCTGACCCTCCACCACGTCTAAAAACAATTGGTTTTAACATGAAAACATCAGTTGCTGCACGTGCGTCAAGCTTCTTAGTACATTTCTTTGACGTTGACTGTACGACTATGAAGTGAAACCTCCTAATCAAGGAAAACGACGTTTTATAGAGAAAGTGAACATACGACGACAAATTCTTCTTTTTTTTTTCTGATCCTGAATAAAGTCCTTAGGAATTCAACTCCAAGAGAAATCGCCTACATTTGACAAATTTAGCAGCTCCAAATAGACGCGATAACATTTGAAAAGAGGCAAATTTAATTTTTTAGCGACATTTTCACTGCCGTCGTCGTCGTCGTCGTCGTCGTCATTGCTTAGCTCACTATTTTTAAGATAACTACAGTCATCTCTCTTACCGACACCTTCCAATCAACCATGTTTTACTCCATGCCATGCCTTGTTCATGTTGAATAGACCCTTTGCAGTAAGTCATAAACAAAGGTACAAACCTGCCATGCTGGAGAGCGAGGCCCTACGCACTGAGTCAAGCCAAACAAAAAGCTAACATCATTTGAAATGATTTCTTTGTTTGTTGTTTGTCATGTCTCTTTGCTTTGCTTGCCCTCCAGCATGGCATGAGCAACTAGAGTTCAGCGGTGTACCATGTTCAAGTGAGGTAATTTAGCTGGCTATAACTTCAACCGTTTTGACGATCAATCCAACCGTAAAAATTGCCTTGAATATGCCTAAACCTGTTACGAGGCATTCATAGGATTCGTTATAATCCATTTCAAAAATAAGACGCACACAAAAAACTGAAGAACATACTCACTGGCGTATTTTATAGAAAAACATTCAAGTGGCTGACTTCTATTCTTTGAATCGATTTGTTGTAAGAACAGACCGGCGTCACTGGCATTGAGGTGTTTTTCAAGGTACTGCCAGGTCATGTCTTGTACTTTTCTCCCATTCTTAATCGTGCAGTTGAAAGTCACTTTAGAGTCTTTCGGCGTTGCTGTACGGGTTTTTGGCTCCAAAGGAGGTTGACATTTCTGTGCACTTATTTCACAGTCTAGGTTCCCTGTGGGTGACACATCTATCGCGTAAAAAAGGAAAGGATAAAAAGGGAAATTCTTTATTTCATCAAACATTCGAAATTTCGGTTTCTGGGAAACTGCCCACCTACCCCTCCCCTAAGCCATCATTTTGCCCTAAGCGAAAACTAAGTGCTAATGTTAGCTTAGGGAAGGGGTAGGTGGGCAGTTTCCCAGAAACTTAAATTGATCCAAACATTCATTAACCCTTTTAGTCCCAATAGTGACCAAGATCAATTTTCTCCTAACAATGTCCATACATTGTCAACAGATAAGTTATGAGAATTAATAAAATGATCACCCAAGTAAAAATTAAATGTCTTGATCTTTTATCAAATTCTCCAAACTCATTCTTTAAGGAAATGTATGGAGATCAGTTTCGAGAATTTGTATGTGGATACTGGGGCTTAAAGGGTTAACTAACTCAAACCTCCACAGGAACTCTTGACAAACCTACTACAGGGGCACCCAAGGACTGTTTCCTCCTAAATACATCGGAAACATTTTTTAGGCTATCCAGAGTACTTTTACATCTCTAGAAATGCATTTTCAGTGGTGCTATAAAATTTGTATCTGTTCGGTCGTCCAAGGGCAACTTGTGTCTTTTCGAAATTATTAGGGCTTAAGTATTACTTTCCCGAAAATTTTAGTTGCAATTTAACGCTTTGCGAAAGTGAGAATTTTTCCAATTCCTCTCTCCATCACATTTTTGAATCCGAAAATTGTACGTTTTCTTTTTACTACGAAAAATAGAGAAACCTGGAGAGTCAAATGTGAAAAATTGAACTTCAAAAAATCGTAGAGAATTTATTAGGTAGGCTTCGAATGAATGAAACAGTCACCTAGAAATTTGTAGCCGTTCTCAAATAATAGAAAATGTCAGGCAATGTTTGCTTTTCCGAACAGATATTATACAGAAAACAGTCGCTGGGTGCCCCTGCTATTACCGAGTGGAAGTCACTATCCCAGCCCATGTATGTTTTTTTGGCTGGTTATTGTTCTTTGGTAAAGTAATGTTCTTCTCAAAAGATAGCTTTGCAATGGCTGTTTTGACACTCAGTCTTATCGGCAAATGATCGGAATAATTGATCCTACTGGTGGGTGAAAATAAGCAATGATTATTATATTTAAAGTTATTTTAAGCATTTAATTTAAAAAGGAATCAATAATTAAATTCAGGTAGCTTTTGCAATACTGTAATACTTTGTTATAGTAATGAAAATAAAGCTTATTGTTGTTGCTGATTGAGACTATTTTCGTCATGATCAGTAATAAACATTAATGAATTATTTGATTTCCTTAATTTCCGAGGCATCATACAATGATGTTGCTTTAGTCAAGGCAAGAATTCACGAAACAACAAGGAATTAGCTTCTGGATTGAAAACAAAATTATTTCCGCCAATGAACGCTCCACGGAATAAATCGCGAACCATCACAGTCCTTTGATCGCATATAATGTACATGTAGCCGAAAACGTTCCTCACAAAGGCCCAGAATATCCCCAGCGGAGATATTTTCCATACGAGACTTGCCGTCTTGGTTGGCCTCATCGTCAAGCTCAGACCCTGAGCTAACTTCCTATGGGGTGTGAACAGGCCTCCATGTCTATCCCTAGGTGGAGCGTTTGCTGCAAAGTGGGTGCGGTAGCAATTTCTGTGTCGGAGTGAAGCTGCTCGGCGCCGATATTGAAAGTGGATTGTCACATTTTGGATGAGTTTCTGCCAGTCTTCGCCCCAGTGCGAACAAGTTTCACTGAAGAGCGGCACGTTTAATTTACAATTTACCTAAGGATGTGCATTCGGAGGGCGTGCTCAGTTCACTGGCCCACCTTTTCTTTTTATTATAAGTTAGATGTTCTTAGACTTTTTTATAGGGCGCATAGCGAATCCTTACCTGATATAATCTATGAGAATATTGGCCAAAATCGAGTTAGCAGTTACTTCGTTCGAGACCAGAACCGTCTTCTCGTACCAAGGTACGAGTCAAGATTCATGAAAGATTCTCTATCATATAGAGGTGCTTCGTTATGGAACTTTGTTAACTACAATGACAAGGAAGCATCTGCGACCCTGAATTTTAATCAGCTCAGGAAGCGTGTCAGCGCTGAAGATTATTTTATAGATTTCAAGTTTGAATGTACGTCTGCAACTACTATAAGATGCAGACAACAGAATTTTATATATTACTGATCACTGTGTCCCTATAATATATAAATATATAGATTTAGCCAGGGCTAACAGCGAAGCTCCCATTAATAAATTTATAATTTAAATTAATAAACAATAAACTTGTATTCCACAAATCAGTTAACTTAAGGGCACATTCATGTGACTTTTGAGGGAAAGGCTAAATGATTTTAGAGTGAAACAAATCTTGCATCGAGTTGATAGCCTTATATGTACACCCAAAAAAATAGTCTTCCTTCACATTTAAGAGCAATAATGGCTCTTGATCACAGTAGATTAACCGTGGGAAACAAATTCTTGGAAAACAAATCAGGCCGAATTTTTTTGCGTTCGACACGTTTACTTTACATACTCTTGCCAACAAATCCGGGTATGTGCAAACCGACCTTTTATACTTTAAATATACATGACATCTGAGGAGAAAGAGTACTATGAGGCACTGTTTTTGTCATACAGACCTCGTACAAAATGCAGTAGTTCACAACTTTTCAAGACAAATTGCATTCATTCAATATTCAGGACCATCAAAGCACTCGTGGACCTTTAGCGAAACCGTTCAAAAAATTTCCAAAATCACCTATACGGCCAGCCGGTTCAAACTTTTGACAAGCGTCAAATTTGCAAAGAAATTTTAAAAGAGTTACGCTTTCACATGATAAAGGATTTATTGTGTTTATTTTTTATTAATGGTTTTATAACGAAGTGTAATCTTAAAAAGCGTTTGATACGCGCGGCATTTTGAGTACTCCGGCAAGCGATATTCATGAACGACTGAAAACAAACGGCAAAGCGATGAAAATTGTACTTTTGAGACTACTAACAATCAATAAAGAAATATAATTAGTTAGAACATTTACTGAGAGACAACAATTTTCATTTACGAAAACAAATGAGTATTTAAGTGTCTCTAAGAATCCTAAGTCTTTAAGCTTAAAGATTAAGTTTATGTTTTAAGCCCGGAGGGGGGGAGGGAGTAGTATAGGAGGGATGTTTTAGGCCTCTTTTTTGGGGGGGAATCTCATTAAGGTGGGGGGAATAAATCAACGTCGCTGACGTCATAGGCTATTGTGTTGATCTCATGAATAAAATGCGCAGGAATCTCGTTAACTTGTGGTGGTATCTCATAAAGATAAGGTCATGTGCTATTTTTAGATGGATGATGTCATGGTTGGTATAACCGGTTTGACAGGTTTTAGTTATTTTCGGAAGATGGTGTCATATGTATTCCGGGGTACTATGATGTCATAGCTGTTTTGATTGGTTGACCGGAATTTGAAAGACGCTCATTGGCTGTCTCGTTTGACGAAGCATTCTAAACTTGTCTGTGACTTAAATCACGGAGGCGTAATGTAATTATGCAAGTCCTATTTCCTGCTGCTGTGATTTTCCTAGTTCCGGTTCACTGACTTTTGGCGGGCAAATCGTGCATAGTAATGAGGGCAAAGACAAACTAGCTCTTGTCCTATTTCCTGCTGCTGTGATTGTCCTTGTTCCGGTTAACTGATTTTTGGCGGGCAAATCGTGCATAGTAATGAGGGCAAAGACAAACTAACTCTTGTCCTATTTCCTGCTGCTGTGATTGTCCTTGTTCCGGTGCACTGATTTTTTGGCGGGCAAATCGTGTATATTAAAGAGGGTAAAGGCAAACTAGCTCTTTTTAACACTGCAAGCAATGCTTTACTTACCCCTCTCCTTTTCATTTTTTATTTTCCTCCACCTCTTCATTTATTCTATATATTTTTCCATCCACAAATACATCGACCTCCTAGCGACCCTACATCGACCCCACATCGACCCTACACTCAACTTTTTTTTAACACTGCTTCGTAAATAGTGAAGCTATATACCACCACCGCCACATTTCTATTGTTTTCCCACCACCACCACCACCGCCACCACATTTCAATTGTTTTCCCTCCTCCTCCTAATTACATTACGCCTCCGTGATTTTAAGTCATAGACAAGTTTAGAATGCTTCGTCAAACGAGACAGCCAATGAACGTCTTTCAAATTCCGGTCAACCAATCAAAACAACTATGACATCATAGTACCCCGGAATACATACGACACCATCTTCCTAAAATAACTAAAACCTGTCAAACCGGTTATACCAACCATGACATCATCCATCTAAAAATAGCACATGACCTTATCTTTATGAGATACCACCGCAAGTTAATGAGATTCCTGCGCATTTTAGTCATGAGTTCAACACAATAACCTATGACGTCAACGACGTTAATTTATTCCCCCCCACCTTAATGAGATTCCCCCCCCCAAAAAAGAGGCCTAAAACATCCCTCCTATACTACTCGGGGGGGGGGCACTTGGTTATATTTGGGGTGGGTATGTGCCGCCCGGGACTCCAAATTGGCACCCCGTTCTAAAAAAAAATTTCCCCTAAAATTGATACCCCGTTCTAGAAATGGGCCAATTTTTTATACCCCGTTCTAGAATTCGCCCTAAAACTGATACCCCATTCTAGAAATGGGCCAATTTTTTATACTTCGTTCTAGAAAGTTTGTAAATTGAAATAGCCCTGTTTTTTAAAAAAGATATTTCTTTATTTATTCGACTTATACATCAAATAAATGCTTCTTCATAATCAGCAACAATTTTAAGCAAAAGATAAAGCCGTGATCCACAATTTTTATACCCCGTTCTAGAAAACGACTCTGAAATGGATACCCCGTTCTAAATCAGGAGCTTCAAAATCACGACCCCGTTGGGCGGCACATACCCGTATAGGTAATGTATGGGAGTACCCCCCGGGGTTTTAAGCCGCCGGCTTCCCGGTGTTTGCTGTTTTCAAAGATGAACTTTCGATAAGAAAATCGCTCAAAGCGTTTTTTCTGCAGCCAAAATTATAACTAAATATTCTTCGGAAAGTTTTTCTTTCTATTCGCGGTGAAATATCGACTTAAGGCTTTTCAAAGTTCTGTAGGCTTATATCAAACCTCCTACTATGGCAGATTAGGGTCTCAAATCTTAATACAAACGTGCATAAACTAGCTTCGTAAACTGCGCTCGACTTCACGAAATTCGATATAAATACAATAATTACTCAGGCTTACCATATTTCGAGATGCAGCTCCTGCAAGCTGTCAAGTAAGGCCAGGATCGCTTGAGCCTTTATAATTCTCTTACGCATCCAGCAAGGTGAAAAACGATGCCATCCGACTTTGACAAGTTGCGCATTTCTCAACCAAAAATACAATAAACAAACCAGCCATGAATAACAGAAGACTCTTGATAGCAGCTGTATTTTATTTTGTACATACAGTGGAAAAATACTGTTAAAAACATCACAAGTTGACGCAAAACTCTGTCAAAGTAAAAAAGTCGCAAGACGCTGCATAAATTTCCCCCATGAACTCACCTGTCAAATTTTGACCAATTATAGCATAAAAATTGGACGTGAAGCGTGACCAACGCGTGACTATGGTGAGAAAAGTAAAAAGCATCTGTCTTCCCTGCTTGCAAATGTTAATACTGCTGGGCCATAGTGACATAAACATAGGGCGGCCAGTCGGTGTACGGTCACGTGATTACCAAATTTTCTCGGATGGGTAGATTACTTCTTTTTTTTACCCATGGTGCTCCGCTATAATTTGTATATATGTTTTGATGTAGATTAGGTTAGTTTAATTCTTAAACACACGACCTCACAAGCTGTTATAGGTTTAAAATTTATCGTGTTTAGAGGCGAGGTGAATATTCAGAGTGAGGATTGGGATTTAGTGTACCAAGCTCTCTCGGCCAACCGCTCCAGCACGATTTTCGATATGTCTGTGAGCGACTTATTCCAGCTTCGTGCAGCTGCCATTTATACTATGCCAGATACTCCATTTTTATACCTATCCGGTATAGTGACGACAGAACCTTGCCCTTTTTCCTCACTAACACAGTCTCCGTTGCAGTTCCCACCGAAATCATCATTGACTTCCTTGTTAACTGATGTTGAATGAGGTGGATATAGGCAATAGATATTTTTTTTGACTTGCTATACAAACTGTATTGTTTATATTTGTTTTGTTGTTCTGATCATTTTTAACGAATTGCAGGTGAATTGAGCCTAACATGCAACGAGCAATACCACGTCGAGGCTGTAATATTACATTCTACATTCGTGCCTACATTTTAGCGCGTTGGGAAGTTGATTAGTCCAACCGGTTCCCCACCAAAGAAAACCAACTAACAAATCAACAAAGAAGCAAAATACAACCACAAAAATAAAAAGCTACAAAAGAAACCAAACAAACAAATAACTAAAACAAAAAACAATGAATGACCTTGCGGAATATATATAATCAGCTATATAGTATATAGTGATTTTGTTAGCGAGAAATTTATTGCCAATCGAATTTTCCTGCCATTTAGGAGGTCAATCGCCGGTGAATCGTTCTTCTCTATTAACCGGCGACATTAACGATTTGTAAGAATATGTTTCGGTCCCTTTTGTTAACGATCGATTCTTGTTATTGGGCATGTCGTTTTCAGTTAGCTTTCATATGCAAATGCAAGAAAAAATAATTAGAAAATGACTCATTTTTCTGTTTACTTTTGTGGCGTCTACAGTCGATGTCCACTTTGCAAACACAGACTCGTTTATCACAGCTGAAAAATAACCCGCCTTGTTTTCTTCTTGGTGCTTTCTGGGGAGTTTACGTTAGGTTTTGTTTAAGCTTTTTAAAATATTAGTGACATAACGCAGAGATGTCCTGCCTCTTGTTACTTCTGAAACAAGGACCGAGAGCGACGCTAAATAGAAAATATTTTTGTCCGGTTTACTGCATGTACTGA